CTAGGCTTACCCGTGTGCATGACTCGCCAGCACGAGCCAAGACCACGCAATCACCAAATTCTCCCACGTAGCTGGCAATCCACCAAGCAATCAGAAACTCGGCTGCACATTTGACTCGCCCGCACGAGTTAAGTTTACTCAAGAGCCGAACTCCCTTGCATGCCCGGACGATCAGCCAAGCGATTAACATTCTAACCACAGACTCACCAGGGTACTTGGCGGCCGCAATATCACGTCCAGGGATGGGCCTTCCCATTTCCCACGACGTGAAGGGAAGGAGCACAGTACTCTGATCCCATCAAGCAGCCGTCCACAATACGAATGACCAATCAAATCCATGCAATCGCCAAAGTCGCCTGCATGCTTGACTCGCCCGCATGAGTCAAGATCATCCAAGTGACTGAAATTCTCCTGCTTACTTGACTCGCCTACACGAGTTAAAAGCTGAATTCGCCCACGATAGACGAACTCGCCGAACTCGCCAAAGTACTTGGCAGCTGCAATATCACGTACAGGGATGGGCCTTCCCGTTTCTCGTGACGTGAGGGGGAGAAGTACAGTGCTCCGAGCCCATCACGCGGCTGCTCACGGTACAAGTGAGAGGCATGGTATCTCCCAAGAGTACATGGTCACATCCCATGATTCAAGGGAGCGACCACACCATCTCTCCTCTATTTAAGAGCCTCCCCTGGCCACAGGAAAGAGGTTCACAGTTAATTGATTAATTTAATCAGTTAGCTAGACCATTAGCTCTCAACTCTCGACTGAGTTGACGACGGGCTCTTTGCATGATCCTTGCACTGTAGCACCTTCTCCCAACTTCAGGCCTTGACCGCCACTAAACTCGGAGACTCGAACTTGACCAGCACGAGCTTCTACTACGTACTGAAGCTCACCAGCAACCTAGATCGAATCGTCCAAGGAAAGCAGACTAGGTACGAGAACCGAGCGAGACGTCCTATCACTACTAAAGTCCCCACGTTAAACAAGGAGGGCATTCCCTCCGCTTCTGTTGTAATTTCGATTCATTAGTTTATAATAAGCTATTCTTATCAATACAAACAAAACCCCCGTTTCGGGAAATCAAAATTTACACCTACAGAGAGGAAAACACAATGAGGCATATAATAAGATTAAATCTTTCATAAATACTTAACAGGAATTAAATTATCATGATATAAACACTTAAATTAAACTAATGAGGGTTTAACATCCTAATTAATCAAAAAAAATTAAATAACCTAATTTATAAATATGGTTAAGTAAACATGATAAATTCTAAACATTGAACATAGATAAATTCGTTTAAACATGCTCACATCACTTAGGTATCATCAACCTAGGGTTTAGATCTATTTAATTAGCAAGAAACTCAAATAATTATTTAACTAGGGTTTAAACATGATTTAAGCATGATTAACAAGTTAAAATAAAATTAAATACAACCCTAATGATCATGATCATCAAACTAATATAAACAACAACTAAAACTACAGATTTTCATATTGGTTTAAAGATTAACATAATAAACTAATATTTTAAAACATCATGTTAAGCTTAAATATGAGATTCATCAATTAAACATATTAAATCTTGAATTAACTACAGGGAAAAGGTATGGAGGAAGATGATCTTGCCTAAAACATCATGTTGAACTCCTAAACACATGCGTGCAAGATCCTTCTTCACCAAAGTCGCAAAATCACGTCTTCCTCTCGACAAACGCCTCAAGAACTCTCCCAAATCTCACAAATTATTATTAGGGTTTGAGAGAGAGGTAGAGGGGCTGTTAGGGTTTGAAATACTGATGAAAAGATATATTTTTTGTGTGTAAATATGTATATATATAACTGCAAACCTAAATCAAACATCTCAAACCCGAAACAGGAAACCTAGTCAGATCGGGAAAATAGTCTTTGGTATTTTTCCTGTAACTTTCACGTACGACCTCAGAATTAAGTGATTTTAATATGCGTTGGATATCTATTGAAGATACCTCTAATGTTTGTCTTTTCAGGTTTTACAGATTCGAATTGTATCGGTGTATAATGTAGATATACTCTTAACTGGTCATTTTTCCAGATTTCTTCTTTGTGCATGTTTAACCTTTGTATACTCTCATATATACTCTTAATTGATCTCAAATCAATTGTTAGCATAATCCTCCCCCCCCCCCCCCTCTTAAAAGAATTTCATCCTAGAAATTCTGTAATTGTGTCTTAGAGATTAATAATATGAGAAAATATGATGAGGGGATAATCCAGACAAGGAAACCCTCCCGTACATATCTCGTACCATTAATCCCCAGGTATGAAACATAAGTGATATTTTCACTTAACAATCTAGAATGCAAATACTCCCACTTAACCCCTAACTAAACGGAACTAGTACGTCGGGTGAAAAAACCAAACAAAATACCCCCATATATACCATGTGTTCAGAATGATTAGGAGCTAAGTGTTAATACCCCCATTCTAGCGTTAAATATAAATATGACTATGAAAAATAATCATAAACGTAAGCAATTTATAACCAATCATTTTACTTACTCAAACAGGTGTAGGTAGTCATGACGCATATCCTCTTTGCGCTCCCAAGAAGCTTCCTCAGCTCCTTTCCGATTCCATTAAACTTTAACTAAACGTATCACTTTGTTTCTAAGTCTTTTGTCCTCCTTGGCAAGATTACGAACTGGGATCTCAATAGTGGTCAAATCATCATGAAGCTTAATCTCTAGTGCGTCCAATACTTGCTGCTGCTCCTCGTTGCGTAAATGCTTCTTGAGCATCAAAACATGGAAAAGGTCGTGTATACTTGACATCGATGCTGGAAGATCTAGCTGATACGAAATGGCTCGAATACGCTCAACAATCCTGAATGGGCCAATATACCTCGGGGCAAGCTTTCCCCATCTTCCAAATTGCTGACTCACTTCATCCGTGATACTTTCAATAAAATATAGTCCCCAGCCTGGAACTCTAGCGGTCGTCACCTCTGATCTTTGTAGCTCTTCTGTCGACTCTGTGCTGCAAGAATACGCTCCCAAATTAGTACTACCCTCTCTGTAGTCTATCTTACAAGCTCCGATCCAAGCAGTAAGCTGTGCTCTGGTTCTGCCCAACTAATATGTGATCTACAAGACCTCCCGTATAACGCCTCATACGGTGTCATACCTATGGTCGCTTGATAATTATTGTTACAAGCGAACTCGATCAATGGAATGTAATCCTCCTAACTACCCTGGAAATTAATAATACATGCCCGCAACATGTCTTCCAACACTTGGTTAACTCTTTCTGTCTACCCATCTGTTTGCGGGTGGAACACACTAGAATATGATAATTGGCTGCCGAACGAGTTCTGAAAGCTCCTCCAGAAATGCGAAGTGAAAACCGAGCCTTAATCTGATACAATCGTCTCTGGAACTCCATGTAGTCTCACAATTTCCTGGATGAATATCCTTGCATAAATCTCCGTCATGTATGTCGTCTTCAGCGGTATAAAATGCGCCGACTTCGTCAATCGGTCTACAATCACCCAAATTGAATTATTTCCTTTATTAGATCTCGATAAGCCTACAATAAAATCTATGGAAATATCTACCCACTTCCACTTGGAAATGGGTAAAGATTGTAGGGTTACCATGGCGTGTCAGTAGCATGGTAATCTTTGAGAAGTCCTGGATGAACTTCCTGTAATAGCCGGTCAGACCCAAGAAACTATGAATCTCTGTAACGGTCTTCGGCTGCTCCCAATCAAGTACTGCCTCTACCTTAGCTGGATCTATAGCTATGCCCTCCTTGCTGATAATATGACCTCAAAATCTAACCTCGGACAGCCAAAACTCAGACTTGCTAAATTTAGCGTACAACTGGTGCTCCTGCAAAGTCCGCAATGCCAATAAAAGATGCTGCTCATGTTCTGCCTCTAATCTCGAATAGATAAGGATATCGTTGATGCATACGATCACGAACTATTCCAAATATGGACGGAAAATGTGGTTTATCAAATCCATGAATATCACGGGTGCATTGGTCAGCCCAAATGGCATGACAAGGAACTCGAAGGATCCATATCGAGTCAAAAAGGTGGTTTTGGAAATATCCATCTCCCGAACCTACAACTGATGATAGCCGAGACGAAGATCAATCTTCAAGAAATACTACGCTCCCTGTAGCTGGTCAAATAAGTCATCAATTCTCGGTAGTGGATGCATAATCCGGATGGTGACCTTATTCAACTCAAGATAATCTATACATAAACACATAATATCGTCCTTCTTGTCCACAAAGAGGACCGGTGCTCCCCACATAGAATGACTCCGGTGAATAAAACCCTGAGATAAAATCTCATCCAACAGAGTCTATACCTCCATCATCTCAGTAGGTGCCATACGATAGGGTGTTCGTGATATCGGTGTTCTGCCTGGCTGTAACTCGATGCAGAACTTAAGCTCTCTCACAGGAGGTAACTTAGGTATATCCTGAAAGATATCCTGATACTTTAAGACGACTCTAGTCTCGCACAAATCACCACTCTGATCCCGCAACATCATATCCTCGATGTATGCCAGGTATGACTCTACAAACTTGTTGACCTGTGAGGTTGCTACAATCAATTTGGTCTCATCGGACGCTCGCAAACTGACTGTTTTAGCAAAATAGTCAATACTGACGTGGTAGGATAATAATCAATCCATACTAATGATAACGTCAAACTCAAACATATGAAAATGATCAGATAGATGATAAACTCAAACTCATCTAAATCGATGACACATCTCCTACAGATACTCTCTAATAGGGACACTTCGCCTAAAGGAGTAGAGACTGATAATGGTACATCTAGGGGATGTGCAACTAGTTAAAGCTTATCCATGAATGAATGAGAAATAAAAGAATGTGAAGCTCCTGAATTGAACAAGATCCGAGCTGGAAAGGAGTTCACAAGGAACGTACCTTCCACCATGGCTCTGCTCGCACCATGATCACGTGATACGAATGCATAAACCCTACCCGTGGTTGAAGACTGCTGTGCTAAAGCTGGTGGAACGTATGAGACTATCTGTCCCTGAGGTATCTCCTGGATGGCGTGGACTTGTCATGCTGGCCCCTCAATCCTCAGAATGGTCAGTGATGCCTCAATCCTTTGTTGCTGGCCATATCCACGGCCCTGCTGCTGCTGACCCTATCCACGACTCTGCTGTTGTTGGCCATGTCCACTGCCCTACAATTGGCCCTGGCCCCTGTCCTGCTGGCCTCCTACTGGTGCACTGCGACAATCCTTTGCCCTATGTCTGATCTTGTTGCAGTTGTAACAAGCACCCTGAATCTTACACTGCTGAGGTGCTCTTGAATCTTGTCGTGACCCCTTCTTATTTGGTCCTTACTGCTAGTATTGCGAATCCTTTCCCCTCTGCTAGTGTCCTCCGAGTCCTACAAAATATCTCTTGCCCTTGCATTTGTCACTATGATGTCCTTCTTTAGAGGTTCCTTCTGTATTGCTCTAAAAGATCGTAGTCTTTACTCCTGCGAAATAGCGGGGTCACCTACTTCTCGTACTGAACGAAATCATCTAGAGACGAGGTAGCGGCAAAGGCTTGGTCGAAGCCCTATAAGAAACATGTAACTACGACTATGCTGGGAGTCTAAAATAAATATGAAGTATCTCAATATGAGTCAACTGAAAATAAACTAAGACACACAGACTTTACAAGATAAAATATAAAACTCTAAATGTTCAAAAAAAATATCAACTATGGTAGAGTCTCATCTACTAAAAGCATGTGATGGGGACTATGCTAGAAGTCCATCATCCCGCGGCTCTCCGGAGCTTGAGTTGCTGCCTAAAATGAATTGAAAAAAAATAAAAATAGAGACAACAAGAGCGTTAGAGTACTACAGCAAGATCATCTCCATCTGTCCTCAGGGGAAGGGTTATTAGATGTGATAAAGGCTCTATCTATTAAGCATAGTCTACCTAGATCATTTATCATGTATCTAAATGTAATTAATATTTAGAAACCTACAACACAAGATGTTGTACGTCGAGCGAAATAATCCAAACAATGAAACTCTTATGTATATATCATATGTCTCAAATTGTAGATAACTAAATATCAATACCGAACTAAGAATAATCAATCTAAATAGAATTATTAATTAAAAACTCAATACGAAACTGGTACGTCGAGCGAAATAATCCAAGCAAGGAAACCCTCGTGTATATACCATATGTCTCAAATTGCAGATAACTAAATATCAATACCGAACTAAGAATAAACAATCTAAATAGAATTAATAATTAGAAACTCACAACACGAAACTGGTAGGTCGAGTGAAATAATTCAAACAAGGAAACTCTCATGTATATACCATATGTCTCAAATTGTGAATCACTAATTATCAATTCCAAACTAGGAATAAAGAAAAGCAATACAAGAAAGTAAAGTCATCATAATATCGGACCAAAAATATCTTTCACTATCCCTTAGAAGATAATATAAACAACATATAATCTCGCATACTTACAAGAGTAAAGTACCTCGGTCATATATGACTCAACGATGAGTCATGTTCATAATGGTGTCCACAAGGACTCAGGCTATCGAATAATTATCACAATGCAAATCCTTACAAAGTTTATAATTCATCGCATTATCATGCGGGCCGGAATACTAAATTGGCATCCTAATAGTGTACACGGCTCATTAGTCTCATCATATCAACGTGCAGGATGGACTACCAAATCAAGACATACTATGTATACGACTCACAAGCCTCATCACATCTATGTGTGGGACGGAGTACTAGATCAAGCATCCTAAAACCCGACTCAAAGGCCTGTACTCAATGGCCTGTACTAGTAGCATGTATATAATGTTTAAATAATCCATATCCCAAGTGTGGTTGAAAACAATACATGTAATAATCCTCTCCAGGATATCTGTGTGTGTGCTACAATACTATTCATGTATGTTCATGGTTGTACGTGTGTCATCGTACGGCTCGAACCCCGCACTTGCGATCAAAGGATACAAAAAAAACCACTCATAAACAAAGAGAACACAAGTCGGTCAACCATCCTTAGGGCGCCGGTCGACCGAAAGCAACCGTGCACACAATGTGCACGCTCAGGATCTCACCGGTCGACCGACTAGTCATGGTCGGTCAACCAGCTAGAGAGGAAAACACAAGTTCAGCTTTTCTGATATTTTGTATTTTGTAACTTTATTTAAAAACTTATTTTTATCAACATAAGGCATATAACAAGATTATATCTTTCATAATTACTTAAAAAGAATTAACTCATCATGATATAAACACTTGAATTAAACTAATTACCGTTTAACATCCTAATTAATCAAAATTTTCTCAAATAACCTAATTTATAAATATGGTTAAGTAAATATGATAAATTCTAAATATTGAGCAGAAATAAATTCATTTAAACATGCTTACATTACTTAGGTATCATCAACCTAGGGTTTAGACCTTTTTAATTAGCAAGAAAACTCAAATAATTATTAAACTAGGATTTAAACATGATTTAAACATGATTAACAAGTTAAAATAAATTAAATACAACCCTAATGATCATGATCATCAAACTAATATAAACAGCAACTAAAACTATAGATTTTCACATTAGTTTAAATATTAACATCATAAACTAAGATTTTAAAACATCGGGTTAAGCTTAAACATGAGATTCATAAATTAAACATATTAAATCTTAAATTAACTACAGGAAAAGGTTTGGAGGAAGATGATATTGCCTCAAACGTTGTCTTGAACTTCTGAACACGTGCGTGCAAGATCCCTCTTTACCAAAGTCGTAAAATCACGTCTTCCTCTCGACAAACGCCTCAATAACTCTCCTAAATCTCACAAATTATGATTAGGGTTTAAGAGAGAGATAAAGGGGCTTCTAGGGTCTGAAATATTGATGAAAAGATGTGTTTTTCGTGTGTAAACGTGTGTATATATATAACTGTAAACCCGAATCAAAACAGCCCAAACCTGAAACAGGAAACCTAGTCGGACCGGGAAAATAGTCTTTGGTATTTTGACTGTAACTTTCACGTACGACCTCAGAATTAGGTGATTTTAAGATGTGTTGGATATCTATTGAAGATACCTACAACTTTTATCTTTTTAGTTTTTCCAGATTCGAACTGTATCGGTGTGTAATGCAGATATACCTTTAACTGTTTATTTTTCTAGATTTCTTCTTTGTGCATGTTTAACCTTTGTATACTCTCGTATATACTCTTAATTGATCTCAAATCAATTATAAGCATAATCATTCATCCATAAATGATATTCATTATAATTAGAGCTCATTATCAATATAGTTCACACTACTTTTCAAAATTCACGGGGTTTTAGATGTAGTGCCCAACCTATGGAGGAATTCTATGTTCTTAGTGCTTTCCCAGGGTAACCCAAGGCACACTTGCCATTCAGTCGACTCCTGCATTTGTTGTTGTACCATAAGAGTGGACCTCAGTAGGGTGATCAGATCTAGGAGTCCACATTAAGACCTAGGCACCCATCCTCCAGGTTGTTATTTTGCTGTTTTGCCATCAGGGGAGCCCTCAGTAAGGCGATAAGTCCTAGGTGTCCACACTAAGACTTAGGCATCCAATCTCCTGGTTGTCATTTTGCTTTTTTACTATCAGGACGGCCCTCAGTAGGGCGATAAGACCTAAGCATCCACATTAAGACCTAGGCACCAAATCTTTGAGTTGTCATTTTACAGTGTTACCATTAGGGCGGCCCTCGGTAGGATGATAAGACATAGTCGTTCACATTAAGATCTAGGTACCCAACCTCCGGGTTGTTATTTTGCCATTTTACCATCAGGGCCGCCCTCAGTAGGGCGATAAGAGCTAGGTGTCCACATTAAGACCTAGGCACAACCTCCAGGTTGTCACTTTGCCGAAAAGACCTAGGCGCTCTTACTGAGCCCTAAGCACTTTACCTTGCAGGTCTTCTTTGACAAAAAGACCCAGATATCATGCTAATAAAAGGCGTAAAATGAGCCACTCGTCTCGATCACTTCAACACTCGGGCCTTAACAACATGACTGACTCATAACAATCAGCACTCGTTCTCTCAATCAGAACAAAGCTACAAGCTAACATAGCAAAAACAAGGAACATGGCAAGTTCCAGAGTAAGAGTAAAGTTCAAATCTTTATTCTAAGTTTTAAAGTTTTTTATAAATAAATTTTATTAAATTATCCATGTCAATATTTGCAATAAGGCATATCGATATCTACAAAAAGAAAAGCAAAAGATACAATCCCTCAGATCTCTCGACCGGATCCAAGAGTAGGGCTTTGGAGGTCCTCTGCAGGAGTGGCAGGGGCAGGAGCAGCCGAAGAAGAAGCGGGAGGGTCCTCTCCAAGGTCATCCCCCAACTTGTCATCGTCATCCTCCAACCCCAGTTCTAACCCCCCTCCACTCAACTCGCACTGCTTTAGGATGTCGAGGCAGTGAGAGACTCGGGGTGGATAAAGGTGGTTAGGCGCAGGATGAGAGCAAGGGGCGCAGGGAGGCCAAGTAGTCGACACCAACCTTGCAAGTCAAGGTCACCTTAGTTTTACCCAAGGGACATTGGCGCCAGTCGTCGACCACTTTCACCCTATACTACTCCAAGTCTAGGCGAGCGAGTCAATCCTCCAGGTCCTTAACAATTGTCATTAACGCCTGATGAGTCGACCGCTCCTCCTTAAGGTCTCGCCTCAGTTGCTCAACCGAAAGACGACTCGATCAAGCATCCTCTTCTATCGTCGCCTTAAGGCACCTACAAATACTCTTTTAAAATAATAATTAAATATTTTAAAATACTAGAAAATTATTCTAACTAATATCAAAATTTCACGGTTATTACAGCAATGGAAGGGTTCACATACCCTCTTTCGAAGAAAGAAGGAGGGAGATCAACCTCCTTTGTTGCATCACTAATATCAGGCTCGACACCCTCAGCCTAATCCTTAGTTCTGGTGTCATCTTCACTTTCTTCCTCGGAGGTCTCCATTTCATCAGTTTGAAATTCCTCTTCACTGGCATCTGAACGAATTGGTTGTTTTCCTCTTCTTGAAGACTAAGCATATTCTTTTCCTTTTCGCGAAAGCATGGTTTCGCGAACAAATTCTGTAGCATGTTTAGATGCAGCCTCTGCTTCAAACTTCGAGATCATTTTCTTCCTGGTGATGACGTTGGTAGCTATAAGTCATTTACAATATAAGAACGTCATCT